TCTTAAACAATTTTTGTAGTGTGGCAGGGCTCATTATCCTGCTGAAAGAAGCCACTGCCATCAGGGAATATCATTTCCATGAAGGTATGTACTTCGTCAGCAACAATGTTTAGGTAGGTGGTACCTCGTCATCTAAGTAGCATCCACAGGACTCAAGGCTTCCCAGCAGAACATTGCCCAAATCACACTACCTCCGCCGCTTTGCCTTTTCATAGTGCATCCTAGGTGCCATCTCTTCCCCAAGATAGTGAAACACATGCATCCGACCATCCATGTGATGTAAAAGAAAACCTGATTAAATCAGACCAGGCCACCTTCCCTCATTGCTGTGTGGTCCAGTTCTGATGCTCATGTGCCCATTGAAGGAGCCTTTGGTGGTGGATACAGATCAGCATGGGCACCCTGATCGGTCTGTGGCTTTGCAGCCCCATAGGAAACAACATGTGATGCTCCGAGTGTTCAGACACCTTTCTATCGGAACTTTTCAGCAATTTGACTTACAGTAGCTCTTCTAGTGGATGGGACTACACGGGCCAGACTTCGCTCCCCACGTGCATCAATGAGCCTTGGATGCCAATGACCCTGTCACCAGTTCACCGGTTTTCTTCCTTGGACCACTATGGGTAGGCGGCAGACCAGGAACATCTCACAAGAGCTGCAGTTTTGGAGTTGCTCTGACCCAGTCCTCTAGACAGCACAATTTGGCCCTTTTCAAAGCCACTCAAATCCTTGACTCCACCCCTCAGTGGTCATAATTTTATGGCTGATCGTACATATATATCGAGTTATTAGTTATTTTTAGTATATGTATATATAGAGATAGGTTATATATACTGTGTGTATATATATATATATACACACACACACACACACACACACACACATACACACACACACAGAGAGATCGGAGAGATAGATCGAAGAGAGAGAGATCAGAGAGAGAGGAAGAGATCAGAGAGAGAGAGAGAGAGAGGAAGAGATCAGAGAGAGGGAAAGAGATCAGAGAGAGAGGGAAAGATCAGAGAGAGAGGGGAAAAGATATCAGAGAGAGAGGAAGAGATCAGAGAGAGGGGAAAAGATATCAGAGAGAGAGGAAGAGATCAGAGAGAGGGGAAGAGATCAGAGAGAGGGGAAGAGATCAGAGAGAGGGGAAGAGATCAGAGAGAGGGGAAGAGATCAGAGAGAGGGGAAGAGATCAGAGAGAGGGGAAGAGATCAGAGAGAGGGGAAGAGATCAGAGAGAGGGGAAGAGATCAGAGAGAGGGGAAGAGATCAGAGAGAGAGGAAGAGATCAGAGAGAGGGAAAGAGATCAGAGAGAGAGGAAGAGATCAGAGAGAGGGGAAGAGATCAGAGAGAGAGAAAGAGATCAGAGAGAGGGAAAGAGATCAGAGAGAGGGGAAGAGATCAGAGAGAGGGGAAGAGATCAGAGAGAGGGGAAGAGATCAGAGAGAGGGGAAGAGATCAGAGAGAGGGGAAGAGATCAGAGAGAGAGGAAGAGAGCAGAGAGAGGGAAAGAGATCAGAGAGGAGGGAAAGATCAGAGAGAGGGGAAGAGATCAGAGAGAGGGGAAGAGATCAGAGAGAGGGAAAGAGATCAGAGAGAGGGAAAGATCAGAGAGAGGGGAAGAGATCAGAGAGGGAGAGATCAGAGAGAGAGGAAGAGATCAGAGAGAGGGGAAGAGATCAGAGAAAGAGATCAGAGAGAGGGAAAGAGATCAGAGAGAGGG